TGTAAAATATATATTTTTTAATGTGGATACTCTATTTATTAATTTCATAACGTTCGCTATGGCAAACATCTGTCTAACAAACACTGTGCTCTTTATTGTTACAATAAACTGGGATAAAACATTAATGGTTTACCTTTGTTTATTGTTGCAATAAATAAGTGCTTAACACTAATAATAATTTTGTAGGCTTTGTTGTAGCAAACCAGTGTTTCTGAAGGTTTTTGGGTCAACTTCAAAGGCGAACTGACTCTTCGCAGAATTTGTAATATTAAGTTAATCCTGTATTTAACATACGTACATTCAGAAAGTTTGAATTTTTTTTTTTCAAATATAGATTTCTGCACTCTTTATCCTGCAACCGGGTACTTTCCAGGTGCTCCGTGTCAATCAGTGTAAGATCTGTCCTTTGTACCTGACAGTCAGCAGAGAAGAAATGCAGAGAAGAAATTAAAGAATGTTCCTATGTCCCCTCTTCATTTGCTATGTTTGCTTTGACTTTGCTTTGTTTGAACTGAATTATGAGGTCATTTGCTAAATCTTTAATTTAAATTTAAAAGAAAACGTAGCATATTTTGAAAAAAAGGGTGAATTAAGTTAGAGGTGCTTTTTTTTTTAACGTTAATTTTATTTGCATTTTCAAAGGTACACTATACTATCAAAGCATATGGTCTAACGTTACAAAGTCAGTTCTGTGAGACAACACTGTGCATTGAGGATGGCAACATACAAAAATATTCCTGACTTCAGATCTCTGCCTCCACGACGTTCTCAGTACCTGTTGAGACATCTTTACGTAAATATAACCAGTAAATAATAACAAATTAGTAATTGTAAGCTAAAAACAGTGCTAACCAAAAGGGGATTAGAGAGGGGAGGGATTGGTAGAGTTGGTTTAGAGGTAGATTCATCATGGCTTTATCTATTTTGAGCTATCATTGTATTTGTTCCAGTGCTGGGTATCGGTGTTTTGGGTCTGATTAAATTACGGTTCAGGAAATGTGGTAGGTTGGCTCTGGGGACTCGTTACTGTAAGGGCTAAATGTTCTCCCCATATTTTTATACCATTTCATACCATTATTCAGTGATGATAATTATATATTTTTTGAGTGGAAGCTAGCCGTCCTTCGGACTGTTTTTTTAAATTTATTTTTTTATCATAGGTTTTTGCTTAGGTTCAAATATGGTATGGACACGGCTGTCAGAGAGGAGTACTCCTCTTCGATTTGAAAGATTTCTATGTAATAATAGTGCCTGAATAGTTTAGATCATGACAGATTACCAAGGATCTAAGTTTTAGAAGCTGTTTTGCTACCACCAATCCGAGTGTTGCTCTGTAGTGAGTTTTCTCAATTGTCCCATGCCATTGCCCAAAACTTTGTTGGAGGGGACATATTTCGTGCCATCTTCTCGTATAGTTTGGTAGTGACTATGGTCTCAATACATAAGGATATTGTTGGTGCCTTGATTTGCAGCCAATTCCTGCTTATCATCGTGAGTGCTGCCATTATTATGTCGTAAATTAAGTACATGTGATGTTTGGGTGTCTTGTCTGGGAACAAAAGTAGTAAGTAGGTTTTGGGCTCGTGAGGGAGCTGAAGACCCGTGCATTGCTTTATTAAATCAGAGATGTTTCGCCAGTAGTCCGAAAGGGCTGGACATGACCACCATATATGTAGCATAGTGCCTTGGTCCCTTTAACAGCTCCAGCCTTTCCCTGAGTTAGTGGGGTCCACATGTTTTAACCTTACTGGAAACATGTACCATTGGTACAAAATTTTTCTAGATAATTCAATATGTGAGGTACACAGTGTAAGCTGTTTATGTGCTAAGTAAATTTCCGGCCACTCTGCCTTGTCTATATTATGTTTGAGTTCTTTCTCCCAAGCCAACACAAAGCTAGGTTTCTCTTTAGTCCTGTTGTTCACTACTGAGTTGTACAGAATTGATATTAGATTTTTGTGTAGATTTTGCTTTACGCAGATTTTTTCCACCTCCGTCAGCTGTTGTCCATTTACAGGCGATGTTGTTTGGGTGTAATGTTTTTTGAGCCAAGACCTCATCTGCATGTATAAAAATATTGTTCCAGGAGGGAGATTATATAAGGATTGAAGGGAGTTAAAATTCAATACATATCTGTTTAGCATGAGCTGGGAGAGGTGTGTAATTTGATGTGTGCACCATACCCTGTGGTCAAAACCTGGTATAAGCGCCCCGAACGCCTGCAATGGCATGGCTAGGGAAACATAGGCCTTTGGGTGGTGTGTTTTTTGGTAATTGTCCCATGCTTGTAACGTGATTGCTGTTTTGGGGAATATGTATAGTGGTCTAAATGGTTTGGGTATCCAAGCCAAAGAGGTTATCTGCATTCTCTCCATGTGAATGTTTTCTATGTTGCTCCATGCGGGTATTTCCATGTGGTGAGAACCCGCTAGTATGATTCACGATAGTGCTATGGTGTAATAGTGTAGTAGGTTCGGTATACCCATTCCTCCCTTGAGGAAGGTTTTGTAGTAAAGGTTGGTTAATCCGTCCAGGCCCGGTGATTTCCCTGGGGGCAGCGAACAGATAGCCTGTAGGATTTCATGTTGTGAAATCGGTGCCTCTATCAGGTGCTTGTGGGTCAGTGAGACTCTAGGTAGTGTAAGTTTGGTTTGGAAGCTCTCTATGTCCAATTGGGAGGGTTGGTGGGCGTGTTTATCCTCCTTGAGATTATAAAGGGTACTATAATACATCTGCCATGGTGTCATTAGTGACTTGAGGATTGTAAACTTTGTTCCCCTTGTCATTGAGCAGGAACGGTATTTTAGATTGTTGTTGCTTGTGTCTCATGAGTGTTCCCCGCCCTATTCCCTTGTGTGTATGTTTTCATTTTCAGTTTTTGAATCGTGTGTAGTATGCTGAATTTGTATCTCATTTAGTTTGACTTTCGTCATGTCAATCCTTTGTTGGGTTATATCCAATGGGTGTAGAAGGTGAGCTATTGTGTCATCTCTGAGTGAGCATAATAATGGTATGTAGTCATTTTTAGTGGTGTGATTTAAATAAGATGCCCTACTTATCAGGAGCCCCTAACCACTGCTTTGTGTGCTTGCCAAACCAGCACAGGTGAAGTTCCTTGTGTTTCATTGAGTTTGAAGTATGCTGAAATATAATTTGTAAGTTTATTTTTCAAATCTGCGTTATGTAATAAGGCGTCATTGAGGCTTCATGGTGCTTTGCCCCTATTTTGGAATTCCTCTTTTATGGTCAGCATTACTGGAGCATGGTCCGACCACACTATATCGCCAGTTCTGCAGTGTTGTGTGCTTGGGAGTAAGCTTCCGGAGACAAAAATGAAATTGATTCTCGAATAGGTTTTATGCACTGAGGAGTAAAATGAAAATGTTCTATTATTTGGGTGGTGTGTCCTCCAAGCATCATATAGGTTATTTTCAGACAGTAGTTTCACAAAGGCTTTACTTTAGTATTTTGAGTCTGGGTGAGGTGTCTGTTAATGTCGTGTCCATGTGTGGTTGCAATACATGGTTAAGATCTCTGCAGAAGATCATTGGTGTTGGCTGTGCTGTAAGGAGTTTAGAGAGCACCTTATGAAAGAAATTTCTCTGGTTTTCATTGGGGCCGTATATACTCACTATCAAGTATGTGACATCATTTATTCTACAATGCTGTATTAAGTATCCTTTTTTTATTTCTAACAGTTCAAACCTTAGCGAGCTGTGTATTAGTATGGATACTCCCCGTGATTTTGAGGAACAAGTTGAGTAATATTGGGTTGGATAGTCTCGGGTGGCAAATGCAGGGATTTTATTATGCACAAAATGTGTTTCTTGCAGACACAGGATATCTATTTTGTTTTGTTTAGCATCCTCCAGAAGGATGCTTCTTTTATGTGGCATATTTAAGCCACATAAACATTGTGAGTTTGTATTTTCATAATCTGTTATGTAGTAGAGAGTTTTGCTTATATTGTGCTCATATCAGGTTGTTATGCGTGTTAAGTGAGGTATAGTGTGGGTGTGAGATTACCCCAGGATGCGTGGGTGTGCATACCCATGTGATTTCAGTCGTAGCATGGAATGGTAACTGAGTTCTCGGGCATACTCAGTGGTACGTGACCAAGTACTGCAAACAGATGAATCTGTGGTCGTTAAGAGGGAAGAGTAGGGATTAAACAGGGGGCAGCAGAGAAAAATTAAAGAAAGTATATACAAGTTGTCTCCAATGGAGATGTTGTATGGTTCTTCTGTACTGTGGAGGTAGGAGATATGGATGTTCTCCATCTGTGTGGCCATTAGTCATATGTCTTAACATTGGCAAAGTCCAATATGCTATCAGGGCAATATAGGAACCCGTGGTTGGGTGCCAAGTACATGTACATCAGATAAGATTTTTTCAGTGTAACTCATCGTGGAGTAAGAAGCATAGTGTAGGAACACATAATTTCCTCTTGGAGCGTTGGGTCCCATGATCTCCAGCAGTAATCTGGAGTCAATTAAAGCTATGTGTCTACGTGTGATTCATGACGTTATAAAGTTACGTGATCTTAGTTAACAATGTCACCCCACATCAATCCATGTTCCCAGCAGTTGCACTCATACAGACTCAGACACCTTCCCCCTCCCGCGTCCCTTACTGTGTAGCCTGCAATTTAGCATCCCCAGATTAAGCCTATGTGATGCCCGCTTCATCATGGGTGTCATTAGGAGGGTGCTCCTTTACCCTTAGTTACATAGGGAGGTCCCCATATTCAGATGGTAATGTACTGTGCTCGCTATCACATATCCCTCCTGTGGAGCCTATATAACATGTGTGTGAGAAACTAACCATATATAACTTATATTAACGACTTCATAACATAAAGCCTGGAGCACTACATGCTCATGTGTGTTAAGTGGTTAGTCTCTAATAGAACTCGTGTTAACCAAATTGAGCAAATAACAATATAAAGATAAGTTCCTATGGTATGCAATATAAAGATACGTTCCTATGGTATGGATCTATCAACACATTTGGTCATGTATATGTTCAGAATACTTGCTTAAGCCCTCAAGAGTCCTTCGGATGTTCTTGTTTTTTCGAGGCTGCGGTCCTTTGCTGAGTTTCCCCCCCATCTGGATCTCTCGTTCTATGGGTGGCGGCGGGATTCCCCATGCTTTCGATTTTTGCAGGTCATCTTCAGGCGTAAGTATGGTTATAATGCCGCCATCTTTGGTGATCAGAAGTTTTGTGGAAAAGTCCCATCTGTTCCGCAGGCCGTGTGCTCGTATGGCTTCCAGGATGTAGGAGAAATCTTTTCGCTGGCGTAGGGTGGCTGCTGACAGATCATTGAAGATTCTCACAGTTGGGTAATCTCCGTGCGGCTTCACCTTATTTCTACTGGCTCGTTGAATGTGTTCCTTTCTGTGGAAATAATGCACGCCGAGCAAGATGTCTCTCGGCGTGGAGTCAGGTAAATGTCGTGGCTTTGGTATGCAATGAATTCTGTCGACTAGTAGCATAGCCGCTGGAACCTTCGGTGCATATGCATGTAGTAGGCCTTGTGCCTATGCTGGTAGGTCTGCCGTGGTAACGATCTCTGCGACTCCCCGCATCCTAATATTATTACTTCTTGCCCTGTCCTCAAAATCCCCCATTTTGGATTCCATGTACTCTAATTTTGCTGCCATTTGTTCCACATTAGTTGCGAGATTATTATCAGCTGTAGCAAATTCATCACACTTAGCCTCCATGTGAGACGTTCTTTTCCCCAACTCTTGTATATCATTACGCAGCGAATCTACTGTATGTCGCCATGTGGAGATCAATTTATTTGATAGTGCATCAAGAGCTTCTATTAGATCCATTTTAGTGATTTGGTCCAGTTTAGCTCTGGTTTCCAGATCGGGCATGAAATTGCTGTCTTCCGATTCATCTCCGCCATTGGTAGTTGAGGCCTGCGCGGCCTTTAGTTTTTCTGCCTTGGCAGAACTCCTCTTAGTTTTGTGTTGTGACATAGTTGTTTTTTAGACAGCGATGCTCAGATTGGAGTGGATTGCATGCTCGGGCGCTGGAGCAAAGTTTCAGATGTCTATCCTGCTCGGTGGTTAGCCACGCCCCCCTTAGAGGTTCTTTTTAATCTTTTATTTAATTATGTAAATTCCAGAGAAGTGACTTTTCCCCTTTAATTTTAGCAATTCAGCAATTCTAAAAGCAGGTTTAATTTCTCAATAACAGAAACATATATATTGACTCAATTTCAGAGCACATATAATTAATTTTAAATCTCATATTTTTTATACATTTCTATTTGTGTTTTCAAGTTCTTGTTTCACAGTAAATTATGTAGCTTACAAAGGCTTCACCTAACAGCATGTTGCCTTTTGTTGACAATATCCACTAACACAAAAGCCTTCCCCATCCCTATTTCCTCTAAAATAGAGCATAGTGTTCTCCAAATTACAGATAACCTCCTATATTCACATACAGTACAATACAGTCTACATTATGTTTGTAACCATTCAGAAATGATTTTCTTACGCATTTCCTCAGAATATATAGCAGATTTTAGTAAAAGATCTTCACTTTTTATAAGCAATAAAGAAATACTGCAAGCTGTTCTCTAATCTGGAAAATGTGTATTTAGTGTCTGCAAAGCATCTTTTTAACTTGCGTTGTGCTCTCACTGAAAATAATAGAAACAATCAGAAGTAGTGTCTATTCATTATGCATGTAATATATAAATATATATATTCCATATGAAGATATATATACAAAACAATATTTTAACTCTTTAAGGACGGAGGCAATTGTCCAAGTTCTGAACCTAAACAAGACCTGGAACTTGACTATGTCTGTTTAACCATAATTTACCTATTTCATATAGAAACATAGAAACTTTCATTAGTCCCTGGCCTTATCTTATAGGTAGGATAGCCTAATGCATATCCCACGCATGGTTAAACTCCTTTACTGTGTTGACATCTACCACTTGAGCTGGAAGGCTATTCCATGCATCCACTCAGTGGCAGATCCAGAGCTTGTTCTCGGGAGGGGCACTTGTAGATTATTTAAAGAAATAATCCATACACAATAACCATTACAGCTCTGTGTAGTGGTTATGGTGCCAGGAGTGCCGGGACTCCCAGAGTAAGTAGTCAAACTGTTTAAGAACAGTTTGACAACTTACCTGGGGTCTGCTGGGATATGGGGCTGTAGTAGGGCACAGTTGTATGTGTGAGTGGTGCAATGTGCGAGTGGTGTATTGTGTGTGTGAAAGGTTCAGTGTGTGTGTGTGTGTGGGGTATAGTGTGTGCATGTGTAGGGTGTGTGGGGCAATGTGTGTGTGGTAATATGTGTATGGGTGAGCAGTGTATGTGTGTGGGGCAATGTGTGTATAGGTGGGCAGTGTGTGAATGTGTATGGTGTGTGTATGGGGGCAGTGTATGTGTGTGTGGGGCAATGTGTGTATGGGGGCAGTGTGTGAAGGTGTATGGTGTGTGTGGGGGCAGTGTGTATGTGTGTGGTGGGGTAATGTGTGTGGGGCTGTAGTAGGGCATATGAGCAGTGGTGTGTGTGAGTGGTGCAATGTGTAAGGGGTGCAGTATGTGTGTATGTGTGTGTGTGTGTGTGTGTGTGAGAGGGGGACAGTGTGTGTGAAGGTTGTAGTATGTGAGTGAGGGCGGCAGTGTATGTCAGGGATGCAGTGTGTGTGTGAGCATGGGGGCAGTGTGTGTATAAGCGGTGTGTGGGGCAATGTGTGTATGGGGTAAGGTGTGTGAATGTTTAGTGGTGTGTGCATGGGGGCAAATGTGTGTGTGTATGCGGGGCAGTGTATATGGGGGCAGTGTGTTTGTATGTGTGGTCAATGTATGTGTGTGTGTGGGGGCAGTGTATGTGTGTGTGTGGGGCAGTGTGTGTACGGAGGGGTGCAATGTCTATAGGGGCAGTGTGTGAATGTGTGGTAGTGTATGTGGGGGCAGTGTGTGTCAGTGTGTGTGGGGGGCAGTGTATGTGTGTGTATGTGTGGGGAGGGCAGTGTGTGTATAGGGGTGCAAGGTCTATGGGGGGGGCAGTGTGTGAATGTGTGGTGAGGAGGGTAGGGGGACTTTCTTATATTTATTTAAATAAATAAATACATACATTTATGTCCCCCCTCCCTTCTTACCTTTACTGAGGGAGGAGGGGGGACATTTCGCAATCCATGGTGGTCCAGTGGGGAATCCCTGGTGGTCCCAGTGGTGAGAGTGAACTCTAGCCTGCAGCTCCAGGGCTTGCCTGCAGCTCCAGTTCACTCTTGCAAGATCCGGAGTGTTGCCGTGGTAACCGCTGCAACGCTCCGTGCTCGCGAGAGAATTACCCGGAGGAGCTGCAGACTGAGCCCGGGTCCTTTCTCCCTCCCTCCCTGCCGGCTGCCCGCACGGTGCCTCCAGTTCGTGAAGGCACATTGCAGGGCTGGCACTTGGACAGTGCCAGCCCTGCATTAGTCGGCAGGGGAGAGCCTCAGGGGGGGCAATTGCCCCGTTGCCCCCCCAGATCCGCCAGTGCATCCACTACCCTCTCAGTAAAGTAAAATACTTCCTGATATTGTTTTTAAACCTTTGCCCCTCTAATTTAAGACTATGTACTCTTGTTGTGGTAGTTTTTCTTCTTTTAAATATAGTCTCCTCATTTACTGTGTTGATTCCCTTTATGATTATAAATTTCTATCATATCCCACCTGTCTCGTCTTCCCTCCAAGCTATACATGTTAAGTTGCTTTAACCTTTCCTTATAAGTTTTATCCTGCAATCCATGAACCAGTTTAGTAGCCCTTCTCTGAACTCTCTCTAAAGTATCAATATCCTTCTGAAGATAGGCAAGGATAGTCATAACTACAGGGCCGGACTGGCCCACCGGGATACCGGGAAATTTCCCGGTGGGCCGCAGCACCTGGGGCCGGTCTGACAGCCCTGATCATTGGGCTGACAGCTCCTGTGCAGCCCTGTGATCCCAGCCGGCCATGTGTGAGCTGTGTGGCCGCAGAGAGCCCCATGGGAGCAGGGAGAGCCAGGCGGCCGGCACAGCTCCACATGGCCGGCGGGATAAGAAAAATAAAAATAAATTTGCGGCAGGGGCAGGGCTTACATTTGGCGGGGGCGGGGCTTGTGTGCGGCGGGGCTTGCCAGAGTCAGGAACCAGGAGCAAACAGGAAACACAGGAACAAGGAGACTTCTGGGGGACAGGAAACCACGCAAGGGCAAGGAGGTTCTGGCATTTGCTGCTTAAATAGGCTGAACTGATTAGCAGCAGGGTTGATTACTATTCTCAGGTGAGTAACCGTGGCAACATGCTGAAGGAGCTGATCGTTAATTACAGCTGAAACCTCAGACACTGAAAAAGGAAGGGTGGCTGTTTAAAACAGCAAAGAAACCCTGACACACAGACAGTCTCACACAGACACAGACAGTCACACACTCACACAGACAGTCACACACTCACGCAGACAGTCACACACTCACACAGACAGTCTCACACAGACACAGACAGTCACACACTCACACACTGACCTGCTTCTTGATTAGCCTTGTTCCTACCATACATATTTCTCCCTATATTATTCTGTCCATCACTGATTACCCAGGTTTTTTAATAGATTTCAATAAAGGCTTTTTTATTTTTTGGCAACTACACTACTGTTGAGATTGGACTGGGTATTTACCCTCTGGGCGGTCTTTATATAAGACATCCCTTTTTGGGTTTTTTTCTTCCTTTTTTCTACAATTTCCAGGGTTACCCCCTTTTACCAGTCCAGGTGACCTCTATACTCTGGAGGCTCGGCAGTGGGATACGGGAGTGTCTTTTCCTCCCCTCCCACTTTCCAGCCTTTTGAGTTTCCTTTTTCTTGTTATTTATATATATATATATAGGCAATTGAAATAGTTGGCTGCACTCTCGGATTTCCTTAAAATTTTACTTTTATTGAAATATTTAAGAGAAGATCAACGTTTCAGTCCCTCTTGTGGACTTGCATCAGGATCATGACGAAAGTCCACAAGAGGGACTGAAACATTGATCTTCTCTTAAATATTTCAATAAAAGTTACATTTTCAGGAAATCCGAGAGTGCAGCCAACTATTTCAATTGCCTATATATATTTATATATAGATATATAAATATAAAAACACCCTACATAGCACAATGACTTATGGGGCTGGCATAGATTTTTTTCCAGGGCTGCTTCGTATCCCCAGTCCGGCCCTGCCTAACTATAAGATAAGGCCAGGGACTAATGAAAGTATTTAGAAAATTGGGCAGACAAGATGGGCCGAATGGTTCTTATCTGCAGTCGCATTCTATGTTTCTATGTTTCTAAGACACGGTCTCCAGTACTGCGTGCAATAGTCCAAGTGAGGTCTAACCAGTGTTCTGTACAGTGGCATGAGCACTTCCATCTTTCTACTGCTAATACCTCTCCCTATACAACCAAGCATTCTGCTAGAATTTCTTGCTGCTCTACTACATTGTCTGCCTACCTTTAAGTCATTAGAAATAATCACCTCTAAATCCCTTTCCTCATATGTTGAGGTTAGGACTCCATCAAATATTCTTTACTCTGCCCTTGTGTTTTTACGTCCACGATGCATTATTTTGCACTTATCCACATAAAATGTCAGTTGCCACATATTACACTTATTAGATATCTTTTTTTTTTCAGGAGAAATAGGGCTTACAGTTCACATCAAATATTTATATATGGAAAACAATTTAATATGAATAAAATATAAAAAATCATGATACATTTAGAAATATTGTTTTTTTCCAACTTCGGCATGTCAATTTAACTGTGAATGTCATAATACTGTAAGCTTTTACTGCAATAAAACATGCATATGTGTATGCTGTGATGTAATAAATGCTTCTGTTGTCTCTTCTCTTCAACAAGACAACGTACTTAGAGAACCATCTAAAATAAGGTTGAACAAACAATACATACTTATTTTGAACTGGATATAATGATTCATTACAAAAGGAGAAA